GCTCGAAGGCCTCGAGGTCGTCTTTTCTTCAGTTTGGAGAGAAATTTCTCATTCCCGAGATCTCTTCCAATGACTTCGTGTTTCGTAGGCCATATAGTTGTGTGCTGCATCAAAGCCACAAGCGCTTTTGTTTTCTGGATCTCCGGATTCGTTATACGACCAATTAGGGTTAGTCGGTTTGCTTCGATCAGATCTGTCGACGTGCTGGATTCGAATCGGTGGTTCCCTAACCCAGCCGACAAAGCAGTGGTCACGCTTTCTATACGCCATAGCCACCAGAGAAATCGAACTCGATTGACGAGTAAAGAATAGGAAACTGTATCAAAGAGTAAGCAAACTGAACAGCATTCGCTAGGAGTGTGCTGAAACGATGCAGAGGAGTGTGCTTGTGCTAAGAATGGAGATCGGAAAGCAAGGGTGTGCTAAAGGAGTGTGCTTGTGCTATGGAAAGCGGAATAGGGAAGTGTCACTAAGCCTTGACACCGTAATGTCTCTATAGTGGTTGCTACAGAAACCATTGGCAAAGAAGCTCCCCAGCACTTGAGGGAGCATACTGTTTACGGCTCCTCTCTCTGAGACTTCGAGTGACGGTCAACCTTAGCCTTGGGTAGCAAGAGTAGGAACGGATACTGGCAGACAACTACTACATATTTTAGGCAGTTCTCACTATCCGTTACGATTCTATCTCAGATTCTTATCACTGGGAGTGTTTAATTCAACTTCTGCGTATTTAGTTAAGAAGAAAGAAATGCCTGGAAAAAGCCAAGATTGAAAGGGATAACCAAACTTTGACATTTTGGTCTATCTGTGACGGATGTCGATCGGGTGAGAAATCATAGAGGAAGATATAAAAGCAGAGACGTATTTTAGCTGGTAGTTGAATTCCTCAGTTGGTAGCTTCTTCGCCTTATCAGTAGAGTTCAGAGCACACTACCGACTTCGTAAAAGGGAAAGCATATTCCCTCTTAGGGCCTTAAACACACCACAACGAACAAACTTCGAAGGTGGAAACATTCACTGGACTTGCCAATGAAACCACAACGATGCTAGGCTGCTTCGCCGGTGTGCTACGTGCTTTTCTATGACCAGGAGGAGAGCTTCAGTGAAGGATATAAGATAAGAAGTGGAAGAAAGGCTGAGATAAGGAAAATGTAGACACTGATGAAAAAACATAAACGAATAAGTCCTGCTTGACTTTAGCAAAAAATGCTCTACCAATAAAAGCGAGATAGCTCCTTGGCCATCTTCCTTAATTCTTAATCAAATCCCCTTTTGGAGGTGGTTTATGAGTTGGGATATCTTATAGATAAATTAGCGAGCCAAGAAAGAATTGGCCTAGTTGAAAGATTAAAATCGGATTTCTTGGCAATAGCCATCTAGTTCACTCGCTTGTTCTTACCCAACCAATGCTCCAAATGACATAAGAAAAGAAAGAAAAAAACTCACCTTCTTCTTCCAGTGTGCTGCTTAAGGGGTAGCTGGGATATAGTCCAAGACTTAACATGATCGGTATATGTTTTCATAGGCCGTGGTGAAATAAAGGTCAAAGAGGTCTGACTAAAGGCCAGCGCCAACGGTCTGCTTCACTAGGGCTCGATGTGGTAGCATCATCCTTTGTATCAAGGCTTGTAAGCTAAGCTTTTTAGCCGAGTAAAGCAGTGCCGGTAGTTGTTGATTCTCTTCCGACTTCCATTCCCCTAAGATCTAAGGAACTAGGAAGACAGCTCTAGCGCAGCACATTTGTTTATTTCACTTCTAGCTCAGCAGCTTCTCCTAGCAAAGCAACCTATCACAAATCCAACCATGGCAAATTCCGAGGTACAAACCTACAACCCACGTCATGGGAGGACATACGCGAATAGTCTATTACCAATTACCGCAGCTGCATATTACTGACTTTGCACTGTTGCAAAGCGTCAGGTTGTATAATGCTACCTTTACTGCCGTACATACAGCTGAAAGAGATAGTATCAACGCCCCACCAATACTCGCAACTGGTTAAGGAGATATAGATTGGGTGTAATCGCTTTGATCAAATCTAGACGAGCCAGATGGCAAACACCAAATGGTGTGCTAAAGATGAGTGCAAAAATAAAGAAGAAGGTTCGGGGTTAGGCAGTAGTCTTCGTCCTCAGCATACCTTTCTTTAACTAATTCACGTGCTCGAGCATTAGAGCTCTTATTGGCAATGCCTCTCTACTTTGGTTTTATTAAGCTTTGAGCAAGACACCTTGGAATTAGAAACGGATAGGTCTATAGAACGGGATAGACCGGCGAGTGTGGAGCAAATTCTCTTGTTTCATCAGTTGACGTAGATTCTGTTGTATAAAAGGCATGGCCAGGAAGAAAACGTCGTTAATCTCAGGCTTGATCCTCTTCTTTTACTCGGGAGATAGAAGTCGAATAAGGCTAGATTCTGTCTCTAATATGGGATTTGGCTGTATCTACACGATAACCATAACCAAGGGCTTAAGCCAAGATTGCTTAGAAGTCAAAGATTCATGATATATCAGATCAGAGACTAATCACCCTAACCCTACTTTGTCAACAGCGAAGTTCTAAAAAGAAGTCAATTCGGGTGTCCATTGGTGGAAGGAACGATAGAAGGACAACAGAGCCTCACCCTAAAAGATTACAGGATTCTCCATCGAACGTATCGGACACAAAGAAAAGTTGGTTCTGTGCTGCCTGCTGCTTCTGATTCCTATCTTTTGGCTGATGTCTGAGCTGCTCTTTAGAATTCGTACACTCCAGCACTCGGTAATCATTGAAGTCAGCACACTCCTCTGCTTCCACGATGTCGGGAATGTTTGGTAGTTTACCACCCCTGTTGGAGACGAAAAGGAGCAACTCAAGCAAAGACAATACACGGATAATCGCAAACTTTTAGTTAAAGGGAAGTGGCTAAAGCAAGCTGACCGAGCTTACAATAAACCTGAGCCATCAAACACTTAGTTGGATTGAGTGGACTTATGCTCATCTGTGGCAGAGCCAGATGGAATAGTTCCTATAGATTACCATGAACTCGTAGTTTCAGCAACAGTAGATTCCGCATTTAGAGCTACAAAGGCATGGGTAAAGCTATAGCACTTTACTTAGATTACAGAGGTTCTTCTATTACATGTTTGCGTGTGTGCTGAAGAATGAGACCTATCTCGAGCGAAGTCCAGGTGTGCTAACGAGGTGAATATCTGGGATCGAACTATCCTATGATCTTTGGCTGTGTCTCGCCAGTTCTCTTATTCGAGTGAAGTAAAGGATGTTATCGAATCGAATTCCTACTCCAAGCTTTGTCATCCCCAGAATTCCCTGAAAAGCGTTTTAAGTTGCCTTAGATATTCAATTTCTAAGCATAGCTTTGATTCGTTTGTTGCGCCAGGGATGGAAATAAAGTGATACTTTCAATTCTGAGATACTTCTACCTGTGTGCTGGACTGTTAATCTATCTGATTAATCTGGATGCCAAGGAAAAGTACTCGCCTGTGTTGGAAGAAGGGTATAGAGTGTCACCTTGACGTGGTCATCCGAGCCGCCCAATGAATTTTCTTTTGACTTGCTCCCTCAAGCTTCTTTGAAAGCTGCTTTACTCCAGTACACAATTGCTTTCTCTCGGTACTCCTAGTGGCGATCAACCTTAGCCTTAGTTGGATAGGTGCTTTAGCAACTCGACTAGAAGGAGAGGCATACCGCTCAGTCCTATCTTCTTCAATCTACTGGATTACCGGTCAATCAATTCTCTGGTTTTTTCGAGGTGCTTTAGCAACAGTCGCATCTGTTCGAGAGATACAATAAGTCCTCCAATCTTCTACGGAGACTCAACAATATATGCACTACCACGAACTAATCATGGAACACGAACCAATCATAGAAGCGGTAAGTCACCCACCCCAGAATTGATATGTATCCACCTGCCCTAACACAGCAACCCCTAGAGGGCAACTCACATTAGCAGCACGAGCCTGAGATCCTACTTTCAAGGAAGCCTGACACGAAATAATGCCAATCTTAGCTGCTACCAAGTCACATAAATGGAAGTGAACCTTCTTATCCTGGGAGGGAATGTTGAGCCGATCTTTCTTATAAGTTAGAAGCGGGCAAAGGTGAGTAGTGGGACCTGAGAGTTTCCCTTTTCTTCTTTCGCATGGTGTGCTGCGTACAATCAATGTTCCTCTTTCTTCTGGTGGAATCCAAGTGCTTGGAGAACGCAGATATTG